TCTGCTGAAGCAGTTCAGCATGGCTGAACTTGCTCCCACTGTGCTTGAGACACGCTGTGCCCCCATCACCCACCTCCACCCCTGTGCTGCACATCATTCTTCCTGGTCAGGATGTTTTCCCAAAATCATTTATTTTATGGGATGAAGGTCATAGAGCTCCATGTGGCTGAGCAGCCCTGGGGACAGCTGGTTCCCCACACTCAACGCTGTGTGGTATTTGGGGGTCAAGTACAGCTCCCACCCACCAGCCTTGCTGAGAGGCTCTTGGCTCAAGCCACAAGACCCCAGAAGAGGCACTCAGAAGGAAGCAGTGTTAAAATCAAGTTATGAACTACTTACGTGAGCTTCTGCTCCATTATAGGGTGTCAGAGTATAAGTTTTGGCAAAAAATCGGATCTGAGGGGAGAAGAAGGACATGGCAGAATTTGTACTGTGGCCCAAGGTTTGTTGGCAAGCCCTGAGGAGCCCAAACACTCCAGATAATCTCCCAGAGGTACAAATGCTTCTCAGACTGGGCAATAGGTAACACAGCACACCGACTAAAGCATCCCTTTATCATCACAAAGTGCTTTCTGGAGCCCCCCAGCAAGTGTCACTCCATGGTCCCACACAGAGTCCACCCCAAGGCAGGAGCAACAGGCCACACACACCTTGCAGGTGCCTCTTCTAGAAGGGTCTCAAGGGTAGGAATGGCAGGAGGCAGAGGGGACCTGCAGGATTGCCAGCTTTGAGGACAACTGAGAAGGCATTTCCTCTCTGCTGCCATGAGAAATGTGATCCATCAGGATCAGCTGCTGCTACTGGGGCAGCTTAAGATGAAAGGCCACTCCTGCAGCAAGAGCATCACAGCTCAGAGCAGGCAGCCATCAGGGACAGAACTGCAGTGAACCTGAAAAGCTGAAGTCCGGGGGAAGAAAGGCAAGAAAACTTCTGGGCAAGCAGGAAGCTTTGCTTTCCATAGGGTTGGAAAGAAAAAAACCAACACTGCCTTCTAGAGGAATGAAAAGCACACACTGGAAAACAGGTTGTTCTAGAAATGAACAGCATCTCAAAGCACAGGAGCCAAGTTGGGGCCACATCCTGAGCTCTGCTGCCAGCAAGCTAATGGTGTTTCACAATCCCTAACAGAACTGGCCAAGCTTCCAAGGGGAGCTTTGACAAACACTGCTGCAGCTGAGGGGCCGGACCTGCCCCTCTGCAGTGTCCAGCACCAAACCTCCAAACACAGCTTGGAAACTGGGGCTCCAAGATGAGAAGGGGAAGGTTTACAGAGGGTCCAGCCTGCCCAGCCCAACAGAAGGAAGACATCTGTACCAACACAGGCAGCAGGGAGCCAGAGGTGTGCTGTACATCACTTGCAGTGAAGTGTGTCACAGCCCAACACCAGCCAGGACATCCACTCACCAACCACATGATGGGCATTAGCAGCATCCACAGAAAAACAGGCAAAATTCTGTATGTCATGTTTGACATAACGAGCCCAGGACAAACAACACTGGAATACAGACCCTGCAGAGAAGAAAGCAAGTCAGTGTGCAATTACACCACAGTTGAAGGAATGGGTCACGCTCCTTCCCTCCCAGTACTCCTCAGCCAGAGGAGCTGTGTACAGACATCAGACTGTGATACTCCACTGAGTACCAGAGCAGAGAGCAATTAGATGTAGTGATTTTAAGAGGTCCAAATTGGAAAGGTTTGTGTTAGATGCATGCCCATTACAAACCCCCAGGGTAGAAAATGCAGCCTCCTGGTGCAATCTCCATGCAACTCAGCAGCCACAGCAGATATCCCACAAATTACAGCCCACTCAAACTAAAGATTACATCTTCTTTAATATGTAAGAGCCCACCCTTTTGGGACTAAACCATTTTCTCCAGAAGTGTTTGAGAATGGAACAACCACTGCTGGACCAGGGCTGCAGCTGCCAGCACAAGCCACCAATCCCCCAGGACAGGGAAGGCAGGTTGCTTGTACAGCTCACTGGCAAACCAGAGCCACAGCACAGAGCCATCAGCAGAGCCTGCAGCTCCAGTGCTTGTGGGCAGCATGGCCAGAGCAGCCCTGTGCTGACAGGCAGGGAACCTGAAAAAAGCAGAGGCCCTTTGCTCTTTACCATCAATGCTGATCTAAAGAGAAGAGCTTGCAAGGTAAGAACCACTCCCAAAATCTCCCACTCTGCCAGATTCTGGAATTCTTGCCAGAAAAACGTCCCAGTCTCCCTGCCAAATTCTCTACCCCCTACACCACCAGTTCAACCTCAGCCATGTTTAGTTCTTACCTGTGCACTAAGGAATGCATCAGATTGCTATGAGGGAATGAACGCCACTAGGTAACAACAATGTCATGCTAATTACAAACAGTAGCAGCTCATTAGGTTTCTGCAACACAAACCCCATCATCACCTGGTCATTAAATCTCCTGTTCAGAACCACACTCGTCAGGTCAGTAGCATATTTAGAGGAACTGTATGATTCCTGCCCCTTGGCATGCTGATAGTCTGAGAGGCTGAAGGCAGACTCCCTGGCATTGCTGGAGGAGGTCCAGATGAGTCGTGAGGGCTTCTCGTTACCGCAGAGTAGAGACTGAAGCTGACGAACCTGGAAAAAGAATTGTTAACTTATTCAACACAGCAGTTTCCCAGTCTTAGGGTGTAACTTTACAGCACCTAAGACTGTGAGCTCTCAGCTTTCTCAGCTTTTCCTAGACTACCAAAAGCAGACACTTGTATGAGCAGCTGTGATTCTGCTGGACAGCTCAGTTGAGCACCTCAGAGTTTAATACAGCCAAGCCTTACTATTTATCCTGGATGGAGAACTGCATATGATTGACTTCTATCTGCTGGCTCACTAGAGTAACCTCAAAAATTATAAAACTCTTGCAACAAGTGTCACCATTTATTGCTATTTCAACAAACGTCAAGGCCTTTGCCCTCTCATTCTTTATCTATCAGGCTGCAGCCTCAATCAGCATCTGAACCTGTGAGCTCTGTACTGCCCAGACCCATCCCTACCCGCATCAAACATCAGACTGAGGGTTCAATCTTCCCACCAAGCCTCACCAGCATAAAGTGTCCAAAGAGGTTGGTAGCAAACACCTCCTGAAGCCCATCTCCATTCAGCCTGTCCGTCTGGGTCATGATGCCTTCTGCAGTGGTCAGCATGTGGAGCACCTTCCTGGAAGCCAAGAACAGGAGTTAGTGAGGAGCACTGCCAGGGGAATCCACCACTCCCCCACTTCAGCCCTTCAGCAGTCAGCCCTCACCTCACGGCTCTGCACAGCTTCACCTTCAAGGGCAATACTCAACCATGAAAAAAAGAGATAGGAAAGGTCTAGAGAGTAACCCAGGCCCTTCATTTGCAAGTACCTCAACACTGACTAGACCAGAGAAGACATGTCCCTTCCTTCACTTTCCCATGGTCAAGTACTGTTAAAAACACATGCCTCATTTCATGCTCAGATAACTTAATCAAGCTCCAGCACTGAGTCAAGCCCTCAGGCCATGCTTAACACAGGCAAGGAAACCAGTTTGGCACCAGTGCTCAACAGCCCAGCAGCTCTGTTAGACTCACCCAGGTCACTGTGCTCCTCAGCTCAGCCTCCCCGTGCTGCCTACAGAACAGTGATGCTCACACCAACCATGAGCTTCACAGAATGCTGTGACCCACAGCTATGAACAGCTACAGAAACCTACGCTGGCATCACAACAACAGTAAGGAGACCCAGACTTCCCCCCAGCAGCATTTCCCATGCAGTGGCAGGGGCTGCGGGCTTTGGGTGCCTCTTGCCCTCCCCATGCACCCAGCGGGTCTCACACCAGGGAGCAGAAGAGGCACTGGGTGGCCTGCCCCACCCCAGCACAAGAGTGCATCCCCCAGGGCTGTGCTGTACCCCACACCAGGGAGGGAGACAGGCTCCCCAGCACAGACCCAGGGGCACATCCTGCCGGTGCCAGCACCCCGTGCTCCCCCCCACCCGGCCACATCCCCTACCCGGTGAGGAGACCGTGCCAGAGAGCCTTGAAGTTCACGTGCGGGTTGGGCATGATCCCAGCGTTGAGGTAGACGAAGTCCAGGCGCTGAAACCTGCGTGGAGAAGAGCACAGGAGGGGGTTCGGCGGGGCTCGGCGGGGCCCGGCGGGGCAGGGGCGTCCCACGGGGCAGAGCCCGCACCTGCAGCGCAGCTCACGGGCGGCCCGCAGGACGGAGGCCAGGTTGCCCAGGTCCATCTCCACGGTGGACACCTGGGCGGCGGGGTGGCTGGCCAGGATGAGGTCCCGCGTGGCTTCGCTCTTCTGCTCGTTGCGGCAGGCGATGCACAGGTGGATGCGGCCATCCTCCTCCAGCAGCCGCTGGCACAGCGCCAGCCCCACACCGCTGCAACGGGACGGCGTCAGAGAGAGCCCGGCCCAGCCGAGCCGAGCCGAGCCGAGCCCGTCCCCCGTCCCCCGTCGCCCGTCGCCCGTCGCCCGTCGCCCGTCGCCCGTCGCCCGTCGCCCGTCGCCCGTCGCCTGGAGGGGGGCGGGGCCCGCGCCGCCGGTGGCGTGATGGTGAGCCGAGCGCGGGGGGCGGGGCCACCGCGACGCGCCCCGTGACCACGCCCCCGACGGACACGCCCCGGCGCGTAGGCCACGCCCACATCGGGTTGGGCACGCCCCTTCGGCGCAGGGCCCGCCCCCTCCCCAGAGAGCCTTGGATGTCCCTTCCCTTCCCTTCCCTTCCCTTCCCTTCCCTTCCCTTCCCCGAGGAAGGCAGAACTGCCCCAGGCGCGGGGGGCGGGGCCACCGCGACGCCACCGCCCCGTGACCACGCCCCCGATGGACACGCCCCTGCGCGTAGGCCACGCCCACATCGGGTTGGACACGCCCCTTCGGCGCAGGGCCCGCCCCGTCCCCAGAGAGCCTTGGATGTCCCTTCCCTTCCCTTCCCTTCCCTTCCCTTCCCTTCCCTTCCCTTCCCCGAGGAAGGCAGAACTGCCCCAGGCCGCCGTTCCGTGGCGCCGCCGTGGCGGGCAGGTCCGGGTGCGCACGGGGCAGCCCTGCTCCTGGCGGGTCCCGGCTGGAGCCGGGCACGGGCACGGAGCACCCCCGGCCGTGCAGAGTGCCCGGGCGGTGGCAGCTGCCGATGTGCCCCACCTGCCCCGTGCTCCCCGCCTGCTGAGGCACGGCTGGGTGCGCCACAAGGCGGGCAGAGGGACCCGTTCCGTGGCATGAACAAAGCCCGTCCTCGTCTTGAGGCGCTCGGCAGGGATGAGACATCCATCCTCTGTCGCAGCCAGGAGGAGCACGCGGGACGCCAGCCACTGTGCGGGACACAGCCCGCCGTCCCTGCCCTCCCCTCTCCCGGACCCGCGGCCCTGCTGCTGGACGTGTCCTGCCATGGATGCCTCGGAGCATCCTCCTCCCACCCGCTGGTGTGGGTCAGCCAGCCACTCTCTTGACCACCCTTGCTCCAGCGCTCAGGCTGTTTCCCGTGTTCCACAACACATCCCAGGCACGCAGCGCCGCTCTGAGCCCCCAGCCCCGGGTGCCCTGGGGCAGGCGAGCTGAGCTGCCCGCAGGGCGCCACAAGGAAACCATGCAGCCACATCACATACCGAGTGTCTCTTCAGCGGGTTGGCCCCTACACAGAGGTGCAGCTACAGAATATACACATGCCTTAGCCACGCGATACTGGGAGCTGTGCCACGCGCGCCTGCTGGTGCTGAACTAGTGCGTACAAAAGTGTGCAGGGCTCCATGGACCCTCCAAGTCCACAGTTCCTCCTGCCCGGCCACAGGAGGGTCTGCGGCGTGGTGGGTCACCTGCCAGGGCACATGGCTTTGGCACCTGCCCAGTTTGCTCAGGATGCTGGCAGCTTTGGCAGCACGGACGGGTGCCAGAATGCTGTGGGATGCTCAGGGTGGCAGAGCCCAGCTCAGGTGCTTCAGCTGGCCTGTGACCCCAGGCTGAGAGCCAGGGAGAGCTGGAGCATCCTGCTCCATGCCCGTGGGCTTGTTGCAAGCATGGGCAGCGGGCAGCTGCCAGTGAAACTCTGCTACATGCATTCTTCTCCTGGCAGATGAAGATGTGGGTTAACCCTGGGGGAGGAGGACCTGGAGATTTCCCCATGGAACTAAAAGGTGCTAGCATCCTGCTGCCAGCTGCCGTGCATCACCCGTGGGGCATCCAAAATGCATTTCCTGGGCAGTTGAGCTGCCCTGGAGTGGCTGTGGTCGGTGAGGGAATGTCCCCTCGGCACAGGATGCCCGCTCCTCCCTGGCTGCACACTCCAGCAGCTGGGTGAGGTGCCGGGAGCACCCCCAGCCGTCTCCCTGTGCAGCTGGGGCTGGCCAGCAGGGAGGGAGCTTCCTGCCTCTCCATGTGGCATGGCCAAAGCCCCAAATGTCCGCGGAGTCTTTGTTTTCACCCCTTGATTGCACAACCCATTGAGAGCCGGAGGCAGCTCCTGCTGAAGCAGGTGGTGGCTGCCGGTCTGTCCCTGCTTCAGTGGGCACACACCTGCACACATCCCTTCCCCAGGCACCTGCCCTGCGTGTGGGCCGAGCTTCCTCACAGAGAAAGTCCCGCTGAAGTTCGTCCCCTTCAGCCAGGGAAGAGCAGCCGCTCTGTCCTGCTCCTTGTCACCAGGAACACGCTGCACCAATAAATAACCCTCCCCGGGCTCCGTCTGCAGGAAGAGGGAGGGCTGAGCGCCCCACGCCGTGGGGCTTTGCTGTCCTGGGGTCTCCTCTGCGGCCTCACTGCACAATGAGAACACGAGCTGCTGCTCGGGGTTTATGGCTAAGTCTGAGTGAAGTGGCTTCGGTTTGCATCTGGGGCTCCTCTGGGGACAGGGAAGGATGGGAACCAGGGCAGGCGGGAGCCAAGGGTCATTCTTCACTGGCTGAGTCCTGCAGAAGGCGATGGATGTCCTGGAAGGAGGGACGATCTTTAGTGTCCCGTCTCCAGCAGCTGAGCATTAGCTTATAGACTGAGTCAGGGCATAGCATGGGCTGGGGAAGGTAGGTCTGCAAAACAAAAGGCAGAAATGGCAAAGACAGAATTACTGCCACAGAAACCAATGTGCAAACTGCTCCTGGAGAGCCCCGTTCCTCAGGGTGCCCCATCTCTCCATGGCCTGGGGTGGGGGCTGCGCTGCCATGTGCCCAGGGGCCAGGTGACTCCCAGAGGGCACAGAGAGGCAGCTGGGGACGCCTGCCTCTGTCCCCCGACCCTGAATGCTGCAGTGGGGTCAGTGAGCAAGCAATGCCTTGGGCTGTGTAAAGTGCAGCATTTGCCACCACGGGCCCTTCACCAGGATTCCTTCCCAGAGGAGTTCCTGTCCCAGAGCTGCCTCACAGCCAAGCCCCCTCTCTGGTCACCTTAAAGTCTCTCTCCAGACCCCTAATGTCACTGGTGCACCACTGGTCCTCTCGTCCCGTCCCCACCTGCCGGCCCTGGTCCCGGAAGAACTCGCCGGTGTTCTCGATGACCTGCTCGTCAGACATCTGGGAGTAGGGCTGCTCCCGGCAGAGCGTGAAGGTCTCCCACAGTGTCACTCCGAACGCCCACACGTCACTGGCCGTTGTGAACTTGCCCTGGCCAGAGGGAGCAGAGCAGGGTCAGGCATGGGTTTTACCCCATCCTGCTCCAGAAGCTGTAGGTGCTCAAGGATCAAAACCTCATTCTGGATGCCTCAGCATCCAGATCTGGTCCCAGAGAGGCGCTTGGCCCCCCACAGACCTGCCTGTGGCCAGAGCCTGGTGAGCTCCAGGTCTGGCTGGCAGTGACTGCTCTGGGGCTTGCCAAGGACCCAGCTCCTGGCAAAGGTAAAAACCAACACTGCTCCCTCTTTCAGGCCTGACCATGGCCAGGATGAAACGCCAAGCATCCCGCTTAAAGGGTGTCCTGCACTGGGACATCAAATATCACCATAGTCCCCCCAGCCTGCCTCGAAAAGCTGCCACCACTCCCGCTTTCCCCCTGCTTCACCCCAAATCTGGGCTGCAGTGAGCAGAGACCTCGCCATCCCTCCTGCACCCCCAGCCCAAGCAAACAGGGCAGCGAGCATCCCCAGAGCCTTGTCAGTGTCCATCAGAGGAGCCCAGGCCCCCTGTACCAGCAGGATGCTCTCCCAGGACATCCAGCGGATGGGGAGCACCGCCCGGCCCTGGATGCGGTAGTAGTCCCCACTGTAGAGGTTCCTGCTCATCCCAAAGTCGGCAATCTTGATGGTGTAGTGCTTCCCCACCAGGCAGTTGCGCGTGGCCAGGTCCCGGTGCACGAAGTTGAGGGACGAGAGGTACTTCATGCCCGAGGCAATCTGGGTGGCCATGAACCGCAGGTCACTGTCGGGCACAGGGAGAATGAGAGAGAGAGAGAGAGAGAGAGAGAGAGAGAGTGAGATGCCCCTGCTCTCCTGGGCAGCCCTACCTGACGCTGGGTGCGTGGGCAGCAGTGGGGCCGCCTGCCTGCTGGCGGGACAGGAACTGGTTGAGGTCCCCGTTCTCCATGTACTCAGTGATCATACACAGGGGGTCATCTGTGATGCACACCGCCAGCAGCCGGATGATGTTGGGGTCCTTCAGCCGCGACATGATCTTGATTTCCTTCAGAAAATCATTCCTTTCCGGAACAGAAACCACACAGATGGGATAGACAGACCCAGAGGGGCACAGAGGTGAGCACAGACTGGCCAAGAGTGCCACCCGCCCACCCAAGCCTCCTGAGGGACCTGTGGGCCCCTTCCCCTGGGACTGGAGAAGATGAGCTGCAGGGTGGGCTCAGCAGGCAGAGAGGCACTGGGGAGCTGGTTAGGACCAAGGATCCTGACATGTGACAGCCCAGCATCCCCAGAGAGCTCAGGTGTGTGGTCCTTGCAGCTGCACTGAGCATACAGCTGATGGAGACAGGGAATGCTTTCCAAGCATCCCAGCTCTCCTGGTGAGGCTCTGCCTGGGAGCAGTGCTGGAGTGTGTGCCCTCCTCAGCCCCTACCTGGCATTCTTGTTGGCATCTGCCCGCAGCATCTTCACAGCCACAAGCACGGGGTGGTCAGAGCTGCCATCCAAGCCCTCCAGGGCAAAGTCCTTCCCTGTGAACTTGTCCATCCCCTCCACTTCACAGAGGTGAACCTGGGGGAGCAAGGGGCAGCCATTACCTCTGCTGACAGCCTTCCACAGCCCCTGCGAGCTGGGAAGAGCTTTGCCTGAGCCCAGTTCCCGCTCACCTCCCCAAACTGGCCTTCCCCCAGCTTCTCCTTGAAGGTCAGCAGCTTCCTGGGGAACTCCTCGATGGCCACGTCCTTGCCAGCGAGCAGGTCCATGGTGAGGGCTGGCACTGAGTAGGTGTTGCCGCCTGTCACACCCTGCAGGTTCACAATGTCGGCCTCGGCGTAGTGCGGGACGCCCTCGGGGACGCCGGCCTGGCATGGCTTGGTGGGGCCGCTGCAGCCTGGGGGGACACGCCCTGCCGTGGGTGTCCTGCCCTGCGCCCTCTGCTCCCCGGTGGCTGCCCACACTCTGTCCCTTCTGCCCCAGAGCCCTCGCAGGGCTGCGCTCCTGCAGGCAGCGCAGGCTGCTCCACTCCTTCCCCACCAACAGCAAACACACCAACCAAGCCCTGAGCACCAGAGGAGCAGAGATCAATGCCTGACCTCCAGATCATTGAGGAAGAGGTGCCAGAGCATCCCAAGGATGATAGTAGGACACAGTTTAATCTGGCAGTGGACGTCGGTGATGGCTCTCAGTCACAGGTTTTGTGTGACCTTCATGCAAGATGCATGGGGACTTGTGTGACCTCTCCCCTCTGTGACAAAATGTTTGGAGAGTGGCCAAAAGCTGGGGCTGGAGAGAGGGAGGCTGCAGCAGGCTCAGTGAAAGGTGTCCTGGCTGTCACCTGTGAGATGGCTGTGAGCACACAGGGTGTCCTGGCTCTCACCTGTGTCCTCCTCCCCCGAGGTGAACTCAGGCAGCTTGCGGATCAGGCGGGAGGGCTCCTGGTAGTCGGGTCCCAGGGGGAAGATGCGGTCATAGGTGGAGCTGGACTCCTGCTCGCTGGGGGAGGAGGAGCGGTTGTGGTTGAACATGCTGGATTCACTGGGCAGGGAGAGGCTGACGGTCATTTCATCATCCAGCATCCTCCGTGATGCCTGTGACAGTGGGGCAAGGGAGGAGAGAGGTGGGGTTCCCCACAGCATGGGCAGGATGGTACCAGGGATGTGCCCAAACATCCTCTCTAGTGCCTTGTCCCTGGGTTGCAACCTCCGCCTGGGTTTGTCCTCATGTTCCCCCCTTCTCTTGTCTGCCTCTATGGAAAAAGGTTTGGCTTCGTCAGTTCTGTGAGTGACCTTGTTTAGGTGGTGGCTGTGGTGAGGACCCTCGACACCCAGGCTCCTGTTCCCCAGATCAGCTTCAGGACAGAGGGATGGACAAACAGGCAAGTCCCAAAGTCACCACCCTGCCCAGCTAAGTCCCCTTGCTTTGGAGAAGGGTGAAAAGCACAGCCTTTCTGAAGAGGGGAAGGGAGCATCGGTCTTTGCATGGAGTCTGTTTTCTCCATGCTGAGGCCCCAGAAGAACCTGCTCAGAATGACCCCACCACCACAAGGCACCTCACCAGCTTGCCCACCTTCTCCAGCATCTTCTGCCAGAACTGCCGCCACAGTATGATGACAATGATGGCCACTAGGATGAAGATGATGGCCACCAGGCACCCGATCAGGATGCGTGTGTTGCTGTCGTCTACCTTGAGAGTGGGGTCTAGCCAGAGAAGGGGACAGAGAGGGCCGGTCACAGTGGGGTGTGGGGAGACCCCCCGCCCCTTTCCTCCATGGGATGGGGGCACAGTGCCCACCCAGCACAGGCTGACATGCTTCCCATGCTTACCATAAGTGGTGGGGACCACGGGTGCCTCGGCGGGGGGCACTGAGTTATTGTACATGGCTGCATCTGGCCAGGGAGAAGAGAACATCAGGGTGGGGACGTGGATGCCCCACAGCCCTGTGATCTCCTTGAGCCTCCCACCCAAGAGAGCCTGGTCCCCATGGGGCTCATGGTGACGGGTACCTGACTGGAAGGTGATCTCACTGAACATCATCCAGGTGTCGGCGAAGTAGTACTGGCACTTGATGGCACTGGCCATGCGGTGGAGCAGAGGCACGGTGACGAAACGGGCGCTGGGGTTCACATCATCCAGCACCAGCACCGAGGAGATGGCACTGGGCTCCCACTCGCTGGTGTCGGCGCGGAAGTAGCACTGCACCTCCTTGAAGATCTTCACACCTTTGGCGAACATGTTGTTGCAGTGGACCTGTGGGGCAGCCTGTCAGCATGGCCACCGAGGGGCATGGGGAGGGTGACAGGGCACGGGGGGTGAGGACCTTCATGGCGGTGAAGTTCCTGATGCGGTCGAACTCGAAGGTGATCTCCACGTAGCCGCCAGCCGTGCTCTCGTTGCGCCAGCCCACGTAGTCGTAGCCTGGCCAGACGTGGTACTCGTGGGTCTGTGTGAAGTCATCCAGCCCCGACACCCCATCCGTCAGCTGGCCCAGGCCCTCTGTCATGCTGGCACGTGCAAAAGGACAGAAGGAGCGTGACTCTTGCCAGCCCCACAAACCTGCACCAGCCAGCACCCCCTAGCAGCTCCTCATGGGCCCCGGGACACTCGGGGGGGATTTTGTTCTGGATGTTCTCTCTGGAAAAGGCTGTGGGGCACTGAACATGTGGTGCAGCTAGAAAAAATCCAAGGGAAGGGCTGGAGCTGCTTCCCCCATCACATTGACCCCCCAATGATGTGCAGCCTTCCCAGGCTGGTCATGTCCCCCACCTCCATGGCACTGCAAGCATTTTCTCTGCTAAGGATCAGACTGAAAATGCAGGGGAGAAACATGCCCCTCGCCCACTGCCCAGCATGGCACCCAGTCCTCACCTGTACCCAAAGGCCCCGTCGTACACTGAGTCATTCAGGTAGATGACAGTGCCCCCAGGAAGGATGAGCTGCTGCCCGACCGGCGCATTGTAGGACACCAGCCCATCTGCAGGGAGGGAAGGGTGAGTGCACGGACACCCCGCCAATCCTGGTGCTGCAGGACAAACAGCCCCCACTGGGATGGCCAGCACCCCAGCACGGGCGCTGGGGACACGGGGACAGGCACAGGACCACACCACGCACCCAGCCAGGCACAGCCGTACAGCTCCACGCGCAGGCAGACGTTCATGGAGTGGTCAGTGACGGGGATGAAGCGGACAAAGCGGGCAATGAGGGGCGGCTCCAGGTCCTTGAGGACGATGTCGTAGGTGTTGGTATTTCCATCCAGCACCTGGAGAGAGAGGAGCACGGTGGGGATGGGCAGGAGGAGCCTCCTCACCCACCATCCAATGCAGCCCTCACCCGTCTCCTCACCTGCTTCCCGTGCCGGTTCCTCCAAGAGATCCAGCGGGTGCCATCCCGGCTGTAGTTGATTTTATACATGGGGGCAAACTCATTGCCGTGGCCCTTGGCGTGGCGCCCCTGGGTGCCCACCAGTGTGATGAAGTGCAGGGCTTGCAGGTCAATCTGCAGGAACTCCTTCAGGTCATTTGGCTCCACTGGAGTCTTGGGGCACCAGGCTCCATCGCCCTCCTCCGAGTCCAGCCTGCGAGCCCAGAGTGGAGGAGCTGTTTGCACGTGGCTGAGGCCAGCCCCATGTCGTCCCTCTCCCTCCATGCCAGCCAGACCCTGCTGTGGCTATTGCAGGAGGGTGCCCACACTCACCGTCCGTACTTGGCGGCCGTGGAGTCAGACCAGTGGCTGGAGGCTGAGATGTCCTCGTCAGGGATGTGCCCACCCGACATTCCCAAGGGGTACCGACACACCGCTGCAATGACACCGGCAGGGTGCTGAGCAGGAGAGAATCCCTCCGTGGAAATGGCTTGAGCTGGGGCACATCCACTGTGCCCCAGAGCAGCACTCACTCTCCATCCTTGTGGCTTACAGCGAGAGGACGAACAAGGAGGGGGACAGTCCTGCCAAAGCAGGCACCTTCCCAAGCAAATGAAGCCTCTGGCCAGAAGCGGATGCCAGCCCAGCTCCAAGTGAAGTGGGAAGAAGGGGAGGTGGCTCCAAGGCTGACGGGCACACCAGGACCTGTCCCCAGGGATCTCCTCAGCTTTGCTGGCAAGGATCTTGGCTGTGGTGGAGAGCCTGTGAGCTGGCACTGCTGTCCCCATGCTCCAGAGGGCTCACTCCAGAGACCACTTGCCCAGAAACCTCACCAGCAGCAACTGTGCCCTGATGCCCTGCTGCTCCCTGTCCCTGCCTGGGGGAACAAGTGACCAAGGCAGGCACTTGTCCTCCTTGATGACCCCTCAGCTCCCAGCACCAGCCCTGCTCCTGGCTGGGCTGCAAGTGGAAAAGTACCCGGGGTGGCAGGCAGTCTGCACCCCTGACTCCCTCAGCACCGCATCCTCACTGCTTCTCAGGAGTTATTTTTTCACGCCTGGCTGCCAAGAGCACTGCTGAAAGGGCAGCTTGTTTGGCCATGTTTACCGTCTGGCTGCCGGCTCCAGCCCACCGCGGTCCCGCCACACACCACCCCGAGCAAACACCCGCACCGAGGTGGAAAAGACCAGCAAGGGCAGCACACTGTGCCTGGGCCACCTCCTACCCCACAGCCTCTGGCTCGCCTGGCACTGCACCCACAAAGAACCCACGTCCCATTGTGTCACCACACCCAGGGACCATATCCTGCATCAGGCAGAGGGATGAGCACATCTTCATCGTGGGCATTGGCTCAGTGGGAGCATCTCTTCTTGTCTCCTGCTCTCACACTCGTGATGCTCTGCAGAGCACGGCTCCCACTGAATTCCCGTTTAATTCTTGCCAAACATGGAGCCAGCCCTGTGTTTTTGTCTTGGTAATAACAATCCTGGCCAGGCAAATCCAATTCTGCCAGCCATTGATGTCTGCAGGAGAAACGGGATTGCCTTCCTAAATAAGCACTGTGCAACCTCCAAGGAAGACCCAGCTAACTCCTCCCATAGATGGAAGAGGCCTTTGAAGGGACTTGTAAAAGGGACTCCCTGGAGAAACCCTGGGAAAACGTGGGCTCTGTCCATCCCTGCAGCACAGGATGGGGCTGAGCCCTGCAGGAAGAGCCAGCTAAACACACTCATGCTGCCGGCTGGGGCAGTGTTGTGGTTTCTGGGCAGAAGCCAGGCACCCAGTCAAGCCACTTCACCAAAGCCAGCCTTGGTTTGCTGCAAAACCGCCAGAGAAGGCACAGCCCAGCAGAGAGAACAGTAGCTTGGCGCCTGGCAGCCTCCAGCCTCAGTGAGCCCCATGGGCAAGGGCCCTACTCAGAGCCCAGGGATGTAGTGCTTTGCCATGTCCAGCACCCTGCCAGCTGCCAGGGGCCAGGGAGCACCTGTGGCACGCTGGGGAGGGGCTCTGAAGGTCACTGCTGGTGCCCAAGTGAGGTGCAGGACCAGTGAGGTGCAAGCAGAGTGACCAGGCAGGTGCAGGCTTGGGGGCCATCACATACTGCTCGCAGAGCTGAGAAAATCCCAGAGATGATGGAGATGATGCGAGCCCAAACGTGGCCATCTGGCAGGAGCAGAGAGCAGGGAAATGAAATGATGGCACCTGCAGCCGCCTGTCTAACTTACCAGGGTTGACCTGGGCTCTGGCAGCGTGTGGCACGTGCAGCAGCAGCAGTGGCAGCAGTGACAGCAGTGGCAGCACTCTGGGGGTGGCCGACATGTCGGCAGTCCTGTGGAGACAGAACCAGGGCTCGTCACGCCGAGGCAGCGAGGAGGGGCAAACACCAGCCCTGCTTGGGCAGCCAGCTGAGGGTGGGAGCACTTGTGTACCAGACCCGTGTGCCCACGTCAGCCTTGGAGAAGGAACAGAGCCCCAGGCTCAGATCTGTGGTGGTGGTCACAGGGATCCCAGACAGCACCCCTGGGAGCCATGGTGTGCCACATCCCCACGGATTGGCCACAGGACCCGCGGGAAGCTGCCTGGCTCTGCCTGGGGCCAGCACTGGCTGCCTCCACTGCAGGGCACAAAGGCTCTGGCCTGGCCACCCACCCTTGGCTGCCTTTGAAAGAAGAAGTTGCACAACCCCACCACACAAGGCAATAATAGCAGGGTGCCAGAGCGGTTTCCTGCCTGCTGGCTCCAAGAGAGGAGAGCAGATAATCACCGAGATTTACAGGGTATTTACTGCGATAGCTCCCCGTGGCAGAGAGGATGCCAGGGCCATGTGTGACACAGAAAGTGTGACAGAGGGCGTGGGAGCCAGCTTGCACCCTCTGCCTCGAAGGGAGCATGGGATGGGGCTGGAGGGGACCTGGGGGTCCTGGGAATGGGGCTTGGGCCACAGCATGGGGAGAAAAAGGACTGGTGCTGCTGGGGCTTCTCCTCAGAGGGGACAAGGGGACCTCCCCAGGACGTGTCTGCCCTTTTGCCAGGGCTGTCACCACAGCCGTCACCTTGGCCCTGGCCAGCCCTCAGTTGCCAGGAACCCAGAGCCCGAGCAGCTCCCTCTGTGCCCACACACCTCTGGGTGTGGCACCATGCCGGGGGAAGCACCAGGGACATCCCCAGATGTCACCAGCCCTGCCCCAGGCTCCCTGAGCTCCCCTTATCTGCCAAGAGGATACTTTCACACCAGCACCAGATGCAATCAGTTCTCTTTCTATTAAAAAAATCTGGTTTAATCTAGTTTAAATGCACATTAACCTTTGAGAGAGCAACCTTCTACCCTGGGGGTTAAAGGGACCACAGCTCCTGGCCAAACGGGGCCTGGCTGCTGGGGTAAATCCCAGCCAAGCCCACTCCACCGGGGATGTCTGTCCTGGCTGGCACATCCTTGATGCTGCAGGTGAATGCCTGGTTGTGCATCACCCCACGGCCTTGTCCCCACCACCGAGAGAAAGGCTACACACAGCAAACCAGCTGCCCACATCCCACCAAGCCAGCTGGGAGATGCTGGATGTAGCCCTGGTCGCTGCCACAGCTGGGGCTTGGCATGGCAGGAGTGAGACCAGGGTTGCCACACCAGCACCCAGGGGAAGAGTAAAACCCCAGGAGCTGCCACCTGCACTCTGCAAGAAGCCCTCTGCACCCCACAGCACCCTGCTGGATTCCTGGGGGACTCTGCCAGGCACCACAATCTCTGCAGGAGGCACAAGTAAACACCTGCACTTGGGATGATTTCCCCCTTTTACTTTCTTTTTTTTTATTTCCGAAAAGCACATATGTGGTTGCCTTTTTCCCCCCTGTTCCCAGCTGGGAAACTGTAGCTAGTTGCAACTAACTCATCTGCAACTGGGCATTTCAGCCACATTGCCCAGAGGCTCCTGCGTTTGATGACAGGCAGTTCCCCTCCAACATTAAAACCTTAATTTCCTTCTGCATTCCAAAAAATATCCAGGGATATATTTCCTTACTATTCTTTCAGGCTGAGTAAACTCTTTAAGCATCAGGATACCACATGCTGTAATCTCCTGCAGGGAATGCATTTACGTTTAGCCTGGTATAGGGAAACCATCCCCACGTAGCCACTGAGAAAGTGCACATCTCTCCTCAGGGGTGTGGGGCTGGGGGACAGTGGCTCAGGCCACAAGGCTGAGGGCTGATGGACACACAGTCAAGCACAGGGGCAGCACTGGCAGCCCAGCTGGAAATCAGTTTTGTTCCACCAGCCCTGCAAAAGGGATGGCTTTGCAACGCTTTGACTGAAAATGTTTGCTGAAAATGTTCAATCACTGGAAAGTTTTAGTGCAGACAGTTTTTGGAGCTCCTCCCTGGCATCGCCTGGGCTTTGAGTTTCCCTTGGCTGCTGCTTTTTTTGTTGTTTTCCCTTCTTATTTCTCTCCTTCCTTATTCTACTGAAATAACCAAGGGAAATAACTGGGGGAGAAACTAAATCCACTTTTGTTAAGAAACAACCCCAACCCAAGCTGTGGTCCCTTTTGCCATCAGCCTGTTCCAAGTGAGGCCCCCAGCTGGGTGAGGTCCCCAGCTTGCTTCCCAGGTGGGCACTGCCAACTCTGCTGGCACTGGAGGGGCATCATCCATGGGGAGGGGGCTGGATGGCAGCAGCCTGCACCGCTCGTGCACACCAGGTCCTGGTCACAAATCTGCCAGGACTTCTAGGGCTCCTGTTACAGAGCCCCAGTCCTCACACGGGGCTGGGGCTGCCGTCCTGCTGGGTGAGACAGGTCAGGGCCACTCAGGGAATGTCCCTGAGTGATGACAGGCTCGCTGTGAAGCCGGCCCAAGGGTGTTTGGATAAAGGGGGTCAGGATCCTGCCCCAGCTGGCACTACAGCCCCCAGCATGCCGTGCTGCCGGCAGCCTTGGCGGGAGCACAGCGCAGCATGCCGGGACCCGTAGTCCTCCTCCCTTCCAAAAATGCCATTTTAGACTTTTTCTGGGCTGGATGCAGCCCCATTTCCTGCAGCAACAAGCGCCTCCCCAGCCACGGGCTCGCTGGCTCGGCCCGGGGCATCGCAGCTGTCCGGGGTGCGAGGAGCAGCCAGCACGTCCCCATGGCTCCAGATGCCCAGGAGCACGGCTGGGGGCCTGGGGACACCGTCCTGGGGGTGCTGCATCCTGCAAGTGCTCCCCGGCAGCCAAAAGCTCCCAGCCCTCGCCCCACTTCCAGCAGGGCTCCTCGGCATCACCCCAACCCACGCAGGGCTGGCAGCCACGAGTGGGCTCCCAGTACCAGCACTGGGGCATGATGCTCACGAGCAGCAGGGCAGTGGCCTCCTGCTCCCCTTCCCGGTGTGACCTGGTGCCTGGCCAGGGGACCCTGGGGACAGCAGGGCCTCCCTGGCTGACCAGCACTGCCGCCAGCTCTGCCAACAGACACATAGGCGGGAGCTGAGGAGGGACACCAGGAAATGCTGGCCTGGCACGAGGCACAGGGGGGAAACGCTGGCACTGTGGGGTCAGCCGGCGAAAAGGGGCCAGTTTTCACCTCCCGAGTGAGGACAGTGCCCTGCTGGTGCCCCCGAGCCTTCCCTGGCAGACGTGCACCCCAGCCCCTGCCGGGGCTCCGCCGCCGAGCCCGCTTGAGCCGTGTCCCCCCAGCCGGGGCCCAGGAGGGTCACACGCGTCCCCAGAGCCGAGATCACTCACCCGAGCGCGGCAGTGGCGCGGGGCTGGGGGGCTCCTCGCCCCTCGCCAGGGGAGCCAGGTGAGGAGCGAACTTCCCCGGGCTGATGCAAGATGCCTCTGGGAGCTCGCTCGCATTCTGCAGATTCCTGGGAGCCGGCCAGAAATCCCACAATCCTACATCTTGCACATTTGGTTTCAATTAGGGAGCGGAGAAGGGGAGCCAGTCAGCGATCCGGGCTGGCGTTTCGGCAGAGGTTATTTTCCTCGGCCCGAGGGAATGTGCGCAGAGCTATAATTTACAGCAAAACCCATTCATAGCTCAAGAGAAAAAAAGAAAAAAGTCCCCGTGGCCAGCAAGGGAACTTAAAGCAATAGGCACCGTTTCACTTTCCAGCGCTTGCCTCGTGGCTGTGGCATGGCACACCCATCCAGGATCCTCCTCCTGCACCGTGGGGCCGGGTAGGACACCCCCAAAATGTGGGTGATGGGGACATGCCACAAGACCCCAGAACTGGCCCAGAGGTTCCCACATAGGCTACCCCTCTCCGGGCCCCTGGGGGAATGATTTGGGACTCCTGCATGGGCACACATGGCCAGGACAGCAGCCAAAGGACCAACCTGGCTCAGGGCACGGGCTCAGTGCTCCAGCTCCCCAAGCTCCACACAGAGCTGGTGGTTTGACATCATTTCCAGGCACTAGCCTGGCACAGCGGCCACTGGCTATGCAACGAGGCAGGGAGAAAATAATAATACTACTAATGCTAATAAATAATGGGCTCACATTAATTTTCGTGCAACATCAGAAACCACAATTAAAGAACTTTTAAAAAAAATTTTTGACTGTTTTGGTTGTTTGGCATGTGAATTCCATGCTCACATTATGAGAAGGAAATAGCACCCCTGGCAGCAGGCCACCAACTCCCTAAAGAGCTTTCCTGTCCAACTAGACACCCCAAAGCCCCAGGGCCATAGCCTTGCTCCTAAACCTCTTTGGCAGTCTCCTGACAAATGAACTGAATCACAGGTAGGGGAAGCCACCCACTGCTCCCAGCAGACACTGGTGATCCTTGTCACTGCCACCAGAGAGGGGCAGCAGCACCAGCTGAGCCGGCAGTGCCCAGGGTGACAGAGGCAGAGCACAGCTTCCCCTGGGCTGGCAGGGAGCAGGTCTGAGCAGTGCCCTGTGTGCTGCCCCAGATCAGCTGGCAGGGAGAAGCACAGGCTGCCCTACGTGCACACCAGCACAAACACCAGCCAGCTCTGCTCCACTCCCCTCCTGCTACCTGGAATTGCTGCTAAATAACTTGGCAGCAGCCAGCACCCTGGCGCTCTGTCCAGGACCTAACGCAAAGGTAGTGGTCTGCAAAGCCCAAAAGCCAAAGGCTCAGCCATGCACAGCCCTGCCAGCCTGTGGTGAGCCAGCAGGAGACACAGCACCAGCCAGGACCCCCCACCCAGTGCCTGGGGAACCAAGTGCTTGGCTGAGCCTGGGATGCCCAGCAGCCACCTTTGCACCTGGGGGGCACGCGGGGACCTCCCCCAGAGGAGTGGTTTGGGTCCCATTCCCAGGCCTGCAAGGGAAAATCCTTCCCCAGGCAGCCATGGGGCAGTAAGAGGCTGTGACCACATCAGGATCAGGAGAGGAGCTGGCCAAGCTCTACATCCTTCTTCCCAAACAGGAGTGGAGGCAGCACAGCTGTTCTGCCCCAGGCAGGACACCACACTCCTCAGCAGTGGGCTCATGTAGGAGCCAGAGCCCCTCCAGGAAAAACAGAGGGCACATGGTACTGGTGGAGGGCTCAGTGCCAGGCTGATTTTATCCTGAGCACTCCAGCAGTGCAGCACACCTGCCTGTTCCTACCCGCTCAAGGCTGGCCACTGTTTTGTGGCAGAAATGTAAGAGGGTACAACTCTCTGCTTCCTCCAGGAACACCCCAAATGCGCACTGCAGGCTAGAGGCCCTGTCTGCAGCCACCCCAGACAGCCACCCTTGCTGCATTGAACAGAGCACTTGGCATGATGCAGTCAGCTCTCTACTCCATGAGCCTCTTGGTGCAGTCATTGTCACTCAAACATCACCAGAAGACAAACAGGAGCGACTCAAAGTTTAATTGGGTGCTTCCAGTTGTGCAATATACAAAGGATGACCAAAAGGGGGGACATGGGCAATGGCAAGGACCCTATTAAAAAAAAATAGTCATGTGGATTTAAGAAAAATAAAAATTCTAGATTAAACCCAGCCCCATATCATAAAAATCCCCTCTCTGCATGTACAATGACTATTGCTATACACATGTTTAAAAATAAATGCCCACAACCTGGAGTGCAAAGGGCAGCACCACAGTTGTGTTTTGTGGCAGGGGAATCTATAGTGTTTGGTTTTTAAATTAAAATATAAATAGAAGCATACAACATGCCAAGAACCAAGTGGGTCAAATCCTCCTCTGCACAGGGCCGGAGCAAGCAGGAGCAGTCCCTGCTAGGCCCAGCTATCAACCTTCATGTGCCCCAGTTCCTGGAGGGATGGGCAGCCCTGCCTGGGCACCATGCTGCCACTACATCCCGTTCTTCACCAGCTCGTGGATCCCATCCTCGTCAATGATCAGAGGTGTGCGGAACTCTCGGTCCTTCACGAACTTCTCCAGGCCCTGAGGGAATGAGAGGCGGCTCACATTCACTGCACATCACCCGCCCTGCTGAGCTGCCTCTGCTCCCCTCCTGTGCTGGCAGCCTGGGGGGCAGTGCCCCAAAAAGCTCCCAGTGAGTTCCAGTCACCTGTGTGGCTTGTCCCTCACCCGTGTGCCCTGGCAGCCCAGGCCATCCGACTGGGGCTGGCCCCCAGCTCTGCAGAGCCACTACTCACTTCTCCTCCGTAGGAGACAAGGGGAGAAATTTCACACTGGATTGGCAGGTCGTTTGCATCCTTCAAGCTGCAGAGGAAAATATTCAGTCAGGAGAGTTGGGTACAGCCTGGGAGGACACAGACAGGGCCCAACATCTGCCAAGGCCAGGCGGAGGGTCAGGGGCTGTGCGGGGCCCACACGGACCCCACCAGCACACAGCTGCCCTGGGTTAGTGAAGCCTTGCGTAGCGACTGAAAGGGAAAAGAGCTTTAGATGGGGCTTTCATGATGCCTTTCCATGTGTGTAACTACAGCAGTGCCTGTGCCCTCAGCCCCGCTATTTTTGATATTTTGGCTGCATGGAAACAAGCCACCCATTCCTTCTCCTCCTGCAGCCCTGGGGTGATGTGAGATGCACTCCCAGAGCACCTTCCCATAAAGCAAGAGGTCTTATAAAGCAGGGACACAGGGTAAGCCCTTCTGCTCATTCAGAAACACTCCCTGCAGCACTGTCTGCTCCTCCTGCCTTTGCCTGTTAGACCAACTAGCTTGGCTCCTCTCCTCTGCCTGTGAGATGGAGCTGGTGAGCAAAATGTCAGAACCACACCAGTGCTGCCCACTGCAGCAGCACTGCTGGGCAGGGGCCTGTGTGGGGTCCCTGACCCTGCTCCTACTGCCACCAGCCTTCATAGGACACGCCTGGATGATCCCTGGATCCAGCTGGCATGTAAATCTGGGGGTGCAGCTGCGTGGACCCAACAAGCAGCCATGGCAACAGCACCCCAGGGTGCTGGCCCTTCCCAGCCAGTGGCCCCAGCAGCCAGGCAGGCATGGCAGGTTGCCATCAGTGACAATGCTCCCTTCACTCAGGTCAAAGCTCCTTCCTCTGCCACGCAGCCACTCAGCCCCCTCCTGTCCCAGGTGTCAGTAAATAAAACTCACCCATCCCAACCCACACTGGTGTTTACCTTGAGTGTTAGATTCAAGATAGTAGTTTAAAAAAAAAATTGACATTAACTGCTAATGAAGGGTAAATGTGGGACAAAGTGCAGCCTTTCTCCTGCATGTTAACTAGTGTGATGACTTAGTCATAAGCCCGAAAACACCTGGAGTCTGGAATTAAAACAGAGATAAAACAGCTGTATTCCACCAGAAAGTCCCTGAAGATAAAGCTCCTGAAAGAGGGGAAGGGAACAAGATTGCTTACTCTGTGAGTCATTTACACTCACCAGCTCCAAGTCCCAGCATGCCTGTGCCTACAGAACATAACGGAAGAGTTAAAACTTCCCTGTGTATTCCCGTAAACTTTAAAGCACTGAGCCAGGGGCTTTCCTTAGTGTCACACTCTGGATCTTCCAAACTCAAGAGCTGGAGTCACACAAAGCCCAGCTGGCTGCTGTGCTCAGATTCACACGTGCTACATCAAAGCCTGCCTGGTGTTTGCTTCATGTTTTTAATCCTGTTTCGGTCTGCCCGGACGCCTGGCGGACACTGGGAGATGGCAGCCATCCCCAGCTCTGGGACCGGCCGGGACCAGTCCCTGCCGTGCCGTGACAAACAGGGGAGTGGCACCAAGGGACATGCCAGGGTGTTTGCCAACAGCACCCTGCCTGCCGGGTGACCTTCGGGGGCTGCGTGCAGTCAGCATCAGGCTGCTGCCATTCTGTACCAACGGCATGAGCCCCATCCAGTTATCCCTGCGGAAAGGAGCCCAGCAGGGAGCAGAGCTGCCTGCGCCCGCCACCATGAGAAGCAGCATCCCCTGTCTGCAGGGGTGACATGCCCCCCACATGCGCCCCCCACCCGTTAGCCAGGCCCGCCTGCAGCCCGTTAGTCCCTAAGCACAGCCCCGCCACCATGCACCTGGGACACGGATAGTTACTTGTCATTGACATCTGCTGGGCTGGCAGCTGACCCTCCGTTTGTGATGCTACATGGGAATAAACAAGGGTTAGCAAGGGAGGAAAACAGCAAAATGAGTCTGGGGTCTACTGATCCCTAAAGAGGGTGGCGGGAGGTCTCGTGGTTGAGGGATGTGTTGCTGCCAGCCTGGCTGCTGCGTGGACCTGCTGGTGTGCTCTGTTTTTAGGGAGCCACTTCCTCCCTGCAGAGGCGACCTTGGCTGTGCAATGGAGGCTGGCAGGATTCAGTTCATAGGTGCTGAATTGAGAAGGAAAGCTGCTGCTGGACTGAGCACCACTCCTGTTGTCACCACACAGCTCTGCTCCACAGATCACCCAGGAGAGGGGACCCATAGCTGGCTCCTTCTGTGACACTGTTATCAGTGCTGGGATTGCCTTGTGCTTAATATCCAGCCCAAAAAGGAGCAGAAGTGACAGGAGAAGCAACTCACCGAGGGATGGCAGGGATGCGTGTACCATTTTCGTCCACAAAGTGCCCCCCTGCATTGAGAACCCAGCAGTGGTGCAGGGACATCAAGGCATGTCGGGCTGTGGTGGGGTTGTCCTTGCCATTCTGGCTGTCTGCGTTCTTCAGGGGAGAGAACTCATCCTCACGCAGCACCTCGTACACCACAAACTTCCTGCAGGAACACAGCATGGGAGGGTCAGGTTTGGAGACTGTGCCTGCTTCCCCTGCCAGGGTGGCTGAGCTGGGCCCACAGCCCTCCCCCAGCCCACACCCACAGGCTGTTTTCACAGCCACGCAGGAGGGAGGGGAGGGCCTGGCCTGTGGGGTCAACAGATGTTCCTCTGGCACAGGAGCAGGGCTCAGCCCAGCCAGAGGCATGCAACACCTGTGCCTCCGGCTGCCATCCTATCCTGATCCCGGGACATTGCCAGTGGCACACCCTGGCACAACCCCAGAGGCTCTCAGAGCTTCCCCGGGGGAGCCAGCAGCCAGCCTGGACCCCAAGGAGAGCAAAGGACATACTTGGAAAACTGGAAGATGTCGAAGACAAACTTCTCCATCTTAATCCCGTTGGGCTTCTCGGGTTGGACTAGTTGTCCTGTAGTGATGTCCACATGTGGGATCTTCTTCTCAGCCACGTGGTGCTGCAGCTGTGGTTCGTAAGTGCTGCAACGGGCCAAGACAGAGATGTCACTTGTGTGAGCAAGCCACATCCCCAGCTCAGACACGGCTGCAGCAGGATGGCTGCCCTGCTCTGACCCCAGCTGCCCCAAGGCACAAGCTGCTCATCCCCACAGCAGCAGGAGACAGCCCCACACGCCTGCACTCTGGAAGCAGTATCCAGGTATGGCCCAGAGAACCCTTATCTCAAGGAAGGGGCTGTGCAGACAGGTGGGGGTCAGCCCAGCTCTGCAGGGGCCTCATCCCAGCATGCCTGGAGCTCAACCAGCAGCAAGCAACCAGCAACTCTGCTTGGCAGCAGCACTTCAGCACCAACATTCCTGTTCCGGCGCTCCAGCAGGCCCTTACTTGACCACATCTTTCAGGAAGGCCGTGGAGAAGTAGTGGTTGGCGATGTTGCCCGCGTTGAAGAGCAGCCGCCCGTCCGGGCCGCGCCGCTGGGCGGTGGCCAGGGAGATCTCGCTGTACTCCACCACCTGGTACACGCCGTCCACCCGGCACACCACGCCCACCGGCTCCGTGGGGTTGGTCTTCTCCACCACCTGCCCAAGGAAAGCACTGTCAGGAAAGGCACCCAAAGCCCCATGCTTCAAACATACTCCCTTGGAAACAGAGGGCCCTACTTAGAAAGGCTTTCTCCTCTGCTGGGATGGTGATGCTGGAGCTCTCCCGTCCCAGGTGCTTCTGGCAGTGGGGATTAGAGGAGGCTGTGATGGCAGGGCTGGGTGACAGTGTCAGACACACCCAGAGGGCACAGCAGGATGTGGCACCAAGCTAACGTGCACCTGGCAGCAGGCATGGATATTTTTAGCCAGCTTGCTGTTCACAACCAGAATGCTGCTGGCTCAGCAGAGCTATCCCCCTGGCCTTCCTCTCCTTGCACCTCACACACCTCCATCTGGGTTATGAGATACCCCAGCAATTCCCCACCCACCGCTGTCACCACAGAACAGTGGCATGCAGGGGCGCAGAGCTTTCTCCCTTCTGCAAGCTAAGGTTTATTTCCTCTTTCTTTCATTCAGGCCAGGAGAAGAAACTGCCTTCCCTTTCTCAGCTTACCATCTGAAAGCTGCAAGACCAGTTAAGTCCTTTCACCAGCCGAGCCCAATGCAAACAAAACATTTGGCTGTCAGTCTTTAAGTAAAGCTTTAAGTGTGCAGTGTTCTATACACAAGACATGGGGCTGGGTTCCGTGTCAGCTGCACCCAGGTCCTGGTCTGGTGCCCAGGATGTCAGGCTGGGACACCTGGCAGCTTATGGCAAGGATCCTGTCTGCCTGTGCTAGCCACAGCCACCCAGAGAAGAGTTGCCCAGTATCTGAGTGTGTGCCAGGCAACAACACAGGGCTCTCAAGCAGCCTCTTGACCCCAGGGGGATCTCCGAGCCCTGGGCTTGTTGGTGCCATATTCCTGTGCAAGGCAGAAGAGCAGTGCCAGGCATCCTCCAGGATGCCAGGGGCAGGCAGGACTGTGGCAGCATGTGTTACTTCACCAGTGAGCTCCAGGTACTTAGCTATCCCTCCTGGTTGTGGCAAGCCAGCAAATGAAGGGTGAAAAGTCAGGGAAGGCAGGCACGGAGCAGGACAGACCCCACCCAGCTGTGCAGAAGCAGTGCCTGCCTACTCCCAAAACCATACCTTGGCCCCACAGTCTGCTCCCTTCTCCAAGCAGAAGCCAATGAACCTGGGGTCAGCCACCTTCACCAGGATGTTGTCCACACAGTAGACGTGGACACTCTGCACCCCCCTCCGCTCCATGTCGTCCATGATGCCGTGTGAGCCCAGGGCCCGGTACAGGCCCCCGTTGCCATCTGCAGAGGGAACGCCCCACTGTGTGTCAGCCACCCACACTCATCCTCCTTCCCCACGGGCTGAAGTGGAGGGTCATCAGCCCAGCCATACCCCACCCTGGTCCTCCCCGCCAGGGCAGACACAGACACCTCCCAGCCTGAGTCAGCCCTGGGCCAGCTCACAGTGAAGACTGCAGTTCCAAAAGCTGCTCCTCAGCACCATGTCTCGCCCCTGGCCACCAACCTGGTGCCATGGCAATCTTGCCCTTCTCCTCCAGCAGGATTTTCCCATCGAATCCCAGGGCGGGCAGCATGCCCTGCTGGAAGAAGATGACGTTCTCCTTCTTCAAGCCAAAATACCGATGTTTCTGGAAGAACTCCTTGGTGGACTCCATAGTGCGGCCACTTGTCATAATGTACCTGTTGCAGAGTAGAAGACACCCAATGAGCAGGGACGGGAGGCAGGGTCTCACACCCCTCATCCCAAACGTGGGGAACACCCAGGACATGCTTCCCCTCCTCCACACTTAGAAGGATCTGACCTGCTGTGAACCCACCATTTTGACAAGTCAATGAAGGGTTGCACCATTCCTTGCAACACGTGTCTCCAAAACCATACAACACCACGCATGGGACACCCAGCTGCAGTGGCCAGCTCGTGCCTTGTGTACAGAGCACCTCAGCACCTCATCTCCCCACCCCCCATGGCTGCTGTCCTGCATGGGGACATGAAAACCTTTCCCAAAGGGCCATGGGACTGAGTCTGGCAATGTGGGACCTGCCAGTGCCACCCTGAGCCTTGAACCACTCACTCTAAGGGGCTATGCCCATTGTAAGTGTTGACACCAAGAGGGGCTATGCCAGTCCATGGTGCTCGGGCTGCCAAGGGGCTCGGCACCAACCCAGGCTAACCTCGGGCTGCCAAAGGGAGCTGCACCACCCCAGAACACCGCGGGCTGCTGACACCCAGAGGGCTACGCCTATCTACAGGACCCTGATCCACCAGAGCCAGCCGGACCCTGCCGACACCACCCCACGAGCCCTGTCCCCCCGAGACCGGGAATCACCAGGGGATGTGGCACGGAGTGCCGTGCTGCTCCTCCGCCATCTGCTGCAGCCGCCGCAGGCGCTGGGCCTGCAGGTGGAAGAGGGTCTTGCGGGAGGGCAGCCCCACGTCGCACATGCCCTTGGGGTAGGGGACGCCGAGGCGGGTGCCCTGCCCGCCGGCCAGCAGCAGCGCGGCCACGCGGCTCCCCGCGATCTCCGCCAGCCCTGTGGGAGCAGACACGCGTGGGGCCCTCCGCGCCGGCCCCGCGCCGGCCCCGCCGCCCCGCGCACCTACCGCGGGTCTCCCAGCGCGGCACCAGCCCGCGGTCGCGGGAGGCGCTGCCCAGCACGTCCCGCGGCACCGGCTCCATGCGCGCGTCCAGCCCGGCTGAAGCCGCCGCCGCTCCGCCGCCGCGCCCGCGAGCGCGGAGGAAGAACCGGTTGATCTCAGCCACGTCCATGCGGCGCAGCTCGGCCGCCAGCGCCCGGCGGGCCGCGCCGTCCAGCTCGGGCCAGAAGCGCAGCACATGGTCCTGCCCGCCCGCCGCCAGCCGCTCCCGCAGCTCCGCCACCGCCGCGTCCGCCTCGGCCCCCAGCGCCTCCATCCCGGCCGCACCGCCGCGGGGCCGCCGCCGCCCTTTATAGCCCCCGCCGGCCAATGGCCGGGGCCCGCGCCACGTGGTGCGCGCCGCTCGCTCAATGGGCGCCGGGGGAGGGGCGGCACGGCCCGCCCCCCTCGCGGCGCGCCCGCCAATCGGAGCAGCCGCCGCTGGGGTGTTTGAGCAGCCGCCGCTGCGCCGGCGGGGGCGCGCGCCGTTGGCTGCCATGGCAACGCGCGCCACGTCAGCGCGCGGCCCCGGCGGGCTCGGGGGCGGCGAAAGGGGAGGGAAAAGCCCCAAATCCACCCCAAAACGCGCCGGCGGTCCCTGCGGAGGAGGATCCAGCCCGGCCAGGCCCGGCAGCCTTCAGGCGTCAGCAGCGATGACACACGCACCCGCGCTCCTGCCGTCATCGGGGCCGCGTGGTACCCCAGAGTGACAGGACACGCTGGGCTGGGAGCGACCCTCAGGGACATGGAGCCCTGCACAGGGCACCCCCGGCAGCCGCACCCCGAGCTCCGGGAGCTCTGCCCGGTGCCGGGACGGGCCAGCGTCAGAGCGGGCTGCAGCCAAAAGCGGCTCACCCGCCCCACGCGGGCCCCGGGCGTTGTGCAAGCCGCGGCTCTCCGGGGACCTCCTGCCTCACGAGGCGGCTCGCCCGCGGACATCATCGTTCTGGGAAGCCTCACGCCAGCGCCAGGGTGGGGCGTGGGTGAGCGGGGCTGCCGCAGCGAGCCGAGCCCCAGGGACCGGGAGGGGACACGGTGCGCCCCGGCCACGCAGAGCCCACCCCGGCGTGACCGCCCCGGGACGCTGAGGACAGCCAACTGCGAGCACAACCAGAGGAATGTGAAGACTTTTATTAGTGTCTTAACAGGAGTTATAACAGTTGTATGGAAATCACAGGGTAAATCACAGTTACTGGATGGAATGCAGTTGGCATGAATTGAAACGTATTCCAAGATGATTTCCCATACAGACACAGGCTAAGGGGCATGGAGTGGAGTGGGGAAGCAGAGTGGAGACAGCACATCCAGGCTCTGTGGAAACCTTCACACAGGGAGGGGAACTCGATGGTACTTTGCAGGCAATACTTTGCATATTCCCTTCCAACCACAGGAGATAGGGGAAGATGTCCTACTGCTGAGCCAACAGCTCTGGTGAAATTCCCCTCCTTCGATGAACTTGCTTCGTTGAAGCCCACTAATAATGTTAACAGCCCCCTCCATCCCACGGTTCCCCGCCTCCAAGCTACGACCACCCCTCAGTGGAACTGGAAGCTCTGACAGCCATGGTCTCCCAGCACAAACACCAACACTGCCACGGCCGGGTCCCAGTCCTGTCCCCCAGACCGAGGCCCTGCTGCTCGGTGACAGGGAACTTGCTCAGCTCCATGACATTTCAGTGTCCCACAAGAAGGGCACGCTGGACAAGCACCTCGTACTGAAGCATGGTTTATTGATCACCTGTACCAAGCACGCTGCTCAGCAATGGTGCGTGATGCGATACCACAAGTGACATCCCCAAGGGAGGCACGTGGTGACAGCATCCAGCACAGCGGCAGCAAGAGTACTGAACCCTCTGGAAAGAGCCTGGCTACAGCACGAGGCTCAGGCTGTGTTTGTTACGAGGCTGAAGACCAGTGAGAACAAAATTAGGCATACAGCTAAGATTGGAGCTGAGCTGTGCTTTGGCCAGTGATTTAAACACCAGTTACCCTACAGCTAGGGTAGGACTATGTAGGTGCTACACCAAGGGTTACTGCGGGGAGCAGCACAGACCAGGAAACCCAGTCAGCATCTGAGCGGAAAGCCTCAACACTTGTGCACCTCAAGCAAGCAGGAATCTGGAGATGAGGAAAGCCAGGCCCATCCCAGAGACACCACAACAGGCGCCTTGGACCGAATCACCATGCACACTGCAGATACAATCTAGAGTCAAGGAACTCAAAGGTTTTAGCAGCACTAAAACTTATGCCAAGACACCAACAGGTCACTGAGACACCAGAGTGAGCTTCATCTTGATAGAAAAAGTCTTTGAAGGCAGAGTGTGAGAAGTACCAATACAATGCTTCTAAACCTCCCAGTAGCCCACAGCCTGCAGAAGGGTGGATCCAGTGACAGGACAGAGATCAGCATCTTCAACTCTTGCGAGGAGGAATATAAAGAAAAGCAGCTTTGGGGTTTTTTACCCAGCTCAGTGCTCAAGCCTGGTCAATGAACATCTGGAGAAAAATGTCTAGTAGCAGGAGTTTGCATCATGAGGATTTATTTAGCCCCTGTTAAAGAAGCTGAACAAAACCCCAGCCAAACTCTGGTGGAAGAGCTGCCATGCTGCAGAACAGGCTGTAGCTCCTTTCTGAAGATCAATCCTGGCACGGCTCTATCTTTAGTTGAAAGAATTCTGACTGAAAAAGTCAGGCTTGAAAGATGACAGAGCAGCTCACAGTCCTAGACAAATGCACGTGAGAACTTTGAACACATTTAATTTTCACACCTGCATCCCAGCATCTCCCTGTCCCAGTGTTGCTGTAGGTGACAGACATCACACCCTGCACTCAGAGGAGCTCCCTGTGGCCCCACCTGGGCTGGCACTCAGCAGAGCAGGAGCTTTGGGCTGCTCCTGCCAGCTCAGTGCTGCTGACATGGTGGCATTCAACACGTGTATGTTTGCACCAAAGTGCTTTGCCCCCTGGCTCAACCCCCAGGGACAGCAGTAATGCAGAGCTGAGGAGGTCAGCCAAGACCCAACCATACTTTAAACACTGCTCTCCACACAGGAGAAACCCTCACCCAGTTACCATTCAATTCCTCCCAGACACTAAAAGGTGCTTCACTCACAGGACAGTTAAATTAAAAGCAATGAGTCACACACCCCACCTATGCAAAGGCTGCTGAACAGCTATGTACACCAAAGCAGCATCATTCCCAGAAAAATCTCATCAGCAAATCACACCTTAAAACTCATTGTGGAATTTTATTGTTTTTCTTTTCCCTGGCAAGCCCACCATCTCAAAGGCAACAGAAGAATTCAGAGATTGGTCCTTTCTGAGGGAGTTTGGTTAGGGCCACAGTAGAAAGCACTACACACCAGCACAGAGCGCAACTCAGACTCATGAAATGCTACAGACATTGATCTCCCGACACACCACACACAGGGCAAAAAATCAAGAGGAACTTTTTAAGTGTAGGATTCCAACAAGTCCAGCATCAGCAAGATGCAAACAGTAAACTGCAAGGTAATTCAGGTATTATTCCAGGGAAGGTCAGGGATGGTTCTGGCAGCTGTCCGCAAGTATTTCATCTGGAGAAAAGAGTTCAGGAAGGCTTTCCTCCTCACTAAAACTGGGCCAAGACCACAAGCCAGTCACACTGGTGACTCTCTAAACAGGGCTGTTTCACACTGTGCCATCAGGAGCAGAGTGCCCACCCTGGAGGGAGAGGCTCTGCTGGGTGCATGGTTTGGAAATCCCTGGCTAGCAGCCTCTGCCTGCCCCCTGGCAGCAGCTGACTGAAGCCACAGGAGCAGAGCGTGCTCTGGGGGAAGTGATGCTGCTCACCACAGTATCTTCCCCAAAGGCATGTGGCTGTTGTCCTGACACTGTGAAAGACCTTCTCCTGGCCAGTCCAGCCTGATGACTGATTAAGCCCTTTCCCTACAGGATCTCAGATTGCCTCAAGCCCTTTTTGTAACCTTTGAAGGACCAAAAGTGTCAGTGCTTCTAATCTACAAGTCTTAATGGGTTAATGCAAAACCAAAACGAACAAGACAGAAAAGCCAAGCGTGGGACCTACAGCGGACAAATATTTGTTCTTATAAGACTCCCAAGGCAGGAGTCCTGCTGTGACACAAAGAATACTGTGTGCTGCAGCACTCCTTTCCAAAAATATCACCAAAAGACGCTTACATATCACAGATCATTTGGCATCAGAGCTAGGGAGCATCAGGGCCAGCACAGGCTATGTGCTAGAAAGGTGAATCCACACGGCGGGGTTTTCACATCTACTCAGGCTACAAAGTGCTTACAGGTTGTGTTGGAACTGAGGCTGGCACTGCTCTGACCAGGTCTCCACCATCAGTCCCAGCCCACCCCAGGCATACAAGCAAGCTCAGCTCCCCACAGGCAGCATCATCCACACGTCACTGCCCAGCCCAGCATCAGCTGCATGGCTCTGCTCAGGTCACGAGGTCAGGGTAACCCCACAGGCTCAGCAGATCCAATTTCACTGCTTCCCCCTGCTCTATGTGAGGAGAAGACTTAAAAGTCCTCCTGGTCTGGTTTAGAGAGGATGGTGTTTCTGCTTCTTTATTTATAACGGTATCAACAAAAAGCAGGCAAGCCTTCCTCCTCCTCCAACACTGGAGAGGAGGATTTGGCTACAGGAAAGCTTAACAAAGAAATCCTCTCCCGAGAGCCAAGCCCAGCACTAAGGCCAAGACTTTGGTCTCGCTTCAAATCACTGAGAAGCTCTTGCCAGGATCTGCTCGGCCTCCGGGGCTCCCCCTGTCCCCACTCCTGCCCCCAGATGCCCTCGGGCAGAGCCACACCCCCTGTAAATGAGCAAGCACAGCACACACACAGCGCTGAAAGCCTCCCGGCCTCCTCAGCACATCACAAAGCAGCAGTAAAGTTCCAAAGCCCACTCAAGTCCTTTGCACCTCTCCTTCACAGATGACTTGGAAGCAGGGCTAGGAAGCTCTTTTGCACGTTCAGTTGTAAAACACGAAGAGGAGCAAGACAACTCTCCTGACTGTTGCTACTGCCTACAGCAAGTTTTGGTACAGATATCCTCTCTTATAGGCACTCAGTGGGTAAAACGTAGCCACAACAAACTTGCCATCAAAAATCTTTCCAGTCAGCATTTTTTGGGCAGCTTTGGAATCACCAGCATTTGCATATTCAACAAAGACCTGAAAGAGAGAGAGAGGAGAAGTAGGACTTCCAGTGCACCATGCCACTCACCCCCTCCTACCTCTGCAATGGGGGAAACCATTCCTAAATAAATTTTTTTCCCCTCCACCCTT